GGGCTAGGCTGCTGCACCAAAAGTATCTCCGGAACCAGCATTTTCAGTGATAAGAGCATTGGCCAGTGCCAGGTGCTTCAAAATGAGAAGAAATCCTCTTTAGTAAGTGTATAACATTCATATAAGCAGTCATTTGATTTACAAGCTAAATCATATGAGCCAAAATAGATAATAATTTGATCAGTAAAATACTGCAAAAACTTATGCTTTTCTAACTATTGATGTTAATATCTAACTGAATACAATTATCTGAATGCAACAAGGTTTTTGCTGTAATCTCCACAGCGAGGTGACACAGGAGAGACAGCGAGGTGTGTTGGGCTTTTGGGTTTGTTTCTGATCCATACACGGCCTTCACCCAGCACAGAAACCATCAGCCACATCTCTACTTTTCCAAATGCTGACACCTCGACAGCAAGGAACACTGCAAGATCTTTTCCTAAACAGTCTTTCCTCCTCCAGCAGCCCTTCCATCTGTGTGGGTGCAGCGCTAGCCAGCTGTTGTTAATTGAAGGCTAATTGCAGCTAAACACAAAGCCTGTGCTGTTTGCATTGGAAGAACAGCAGATTGCTCAGCCCACGTCCCTCTGCAGAGCTCCAAGAGGGATCCAAGCTCCCTGAGATGCCCGAGCTGGGGGGTGGTAGATCCCACAACAGCTCCCTTGGGTTGGAAAGGAAGAGCTTGAGTCACTTCAGGGAGTTTCCTTTCCCTCCTCTAGCCTCCAAGGCAGGGAAGGAAAGTCTGAGGAAAACCACCAGCCAGTGCTGCTAAACTCGTACGGCCTGGCTGCTGCTGCCCATGGACAGGGAGAGATTGTTCCCTAAAAAATGCCTGCACTGAATCCTGGAATCTGAGTCCGATCCTGAGGCTGGTATTAACCACCACTGCTGCCTCTTCCTGAAAAAGCAGTTAAGGGTAAAAAAGCAGAAAGTAGCTTGCAATGTCATTAGCACTGCACCGTGATGGAGCTCTTGGTGTTGGCAGGGGAAATCCTCTCACTTGGGTGCTGAATTCCTTTCCCTTCAGAGATTTTTTTTTTATTTTGTTTTGGCTCCCACACTCCTCAGAAAAGAGGAAAGCCAGAGCTCCACATAGCAGCAATATTTTCTTAGAAGAACCAGCATTTTTGAAAGAAAAACAAAAGAAAAAGAACTGGTCATCACTACTACACTGCTGGAGTCCCCAGGGCTAGGAGCATGGTCTACTGCACACGCAAAAACTGCACAGGGTCCCACTTATTACCTGTTGTCAGTCAGCCCTTTTCCTTCCTTTTGGTGTAATATTCCCCATTAGAACTGCAAATGCCTCCTCCAAACCCAGCTGCAACTGAGAGCAACTTTTGCAGTATATTCCTGTTTATTACCCTTTACTATTACGGCAATACTGGGCCCAGGCATTAACCTCACTCCGTGCTGCTTCCTCCTGTTCCGAGGAGTTTGCCACACACCAGCCAGGGACGTGCTCCTCCACAGCCTCCAGAACTGCATTCTGACTCCCCTCTTGGGCTTGCCATTTCCATTATCAACCCAAAATCCAAAAACACAACTTTCCTCCTGCAGTTGGAGCTTGACAAAATAAACCTATTTCCAAAAGCTAGAAGCTATCACACACAAACACAAAATCTTCTACATCAGCTGAAACCTTGAATCACTTGGTGAGGAGGAACATGTAATTTTTAAAGTCACTTTCCAAACAGGAACTGCACTGAAGATATCTTGTCAGCCACAGAACCTGAGGTGCTTATGGCAGTGCAATAGTTTTTAAAGGCTACTAGGCTGCTGTTTTGCTGTTATAGGAGGAAATCAATTTCAGATTTATAACTGTTGCCAAGATAAAATTAAGGCCTTATAAATAGATTTTTTCCATTAGATTTTTCAACAAAGACAGAGGTAGTATTGTTTTTTTTTTTTTAAGAAAAAAGATCATCACTATTAAGTCACCAATTTCTCTTAATGAGATGAGCGATTCTACTTCTGAGGATAAAACTTCTCCTGCACTGCAGGCTGTGGCAGCCAATCCCTGCAAAGACTTTAAACTTTTTTGTTTGTTTGTTTTAAACCCAAGTCCACGCTAAAAATATCCCAGCAGTATTTCCATCATAAACCTGCCTCTGAATGCATCCGTTTCAACTTCTATAGCATCCATGCAGCTAATAGAGAATATAGCACAACAGAATCTGTTACAGTTTGACAGCTACTCTCTTTAGCAACTCTCCAGTAATATTACATCCGAGGAGTCAATTAAAAAGAGGAAAAAATCCCTGCAGGTCCTAAAGTACCTCTACCACTGGGTAATGACAGCGTTAGCACCCTTCGAAACAGGTCTGGTAATGGAAACTTCTTGAAAACTAATGTTATCGACTTTTTAACACATTTACCTAAGTGACTTGTTCTTAACCACTTTTCCGTAAGTGGGAGTATCATTATCAAAACTGAGCATGGGGAAAGGGTCTGGTTTTGCACACAAAGTACTTTGTGTGTTAAGCAACTTCATTTCCCTACCTGTGGGTGCTTTACACAGCAATAGGAAGAAAAAAACATCTTAAACATGTGAAAACAGAAAAGTAAAGTTAACTTAAGAGATATTCAGGCTGGCTACCTAAAATACTCACCATCTTAAAGGTGATTAAACATTGATTTAAAGAAGCTATTTTAAATTTTAGAAACCAAAAATGCTGTCAGGGTAGTAAATCCTAAGAAAATAGTAGTTAAACAAACAAACAAAAATAGGTACTTTCATTTGGTAGAGCAACATATTTCTGTTGGCTAGGTCTGGATTTCCAAACACCCCTCATGGCATTGCTGGTTTATTGAGTTAGATACCCAGATCTCACTGGGTAAGGGCTGATTACGTCCTGCTTGTGAAAACAGTATTTAAATTATTCTGCTCTGAGCCTCGATTCTGGATCAAAAGCACCAACTGTGCAATAGACCAACCAGCTCCACCAGCAAGACACCGTTCCCAGTTCCGATGTCAAGGACAGGGCTGTCACGGGGGATCTGGTGTTTCTCCATCCATCGAATCAAGCGGACGATGCTTTCTTCTCCAAACCTGTTAGAAACAGGGACCCGAGTGACCAAGACAGCAAAGACGTAGTTAAGACCCAGCAACTCTATTTCATGACTTCCACTTGCCAGCTTTTGTTAAGCAGCTGGGCAACTGCTTATTGAACAACTCGGTTACTGAAGCAATTGGGAAACGGGTGGCATGGATTGTATTCCAAGTTTGCTTTGTTTAAGTTTCACAAATTCACTGAAAGCAGAGCCCTTGGGAAAGGGAAAGAAGGGGAGGGAAGAAGAAAACGGAGATGGGAACTTGCCTTATCCCATCTAGGCTCAGCGATTAAAAATGAGTATTTATGGGTAGAGCAGACCACGGACTGCGTGACACAGCCTAGGAACCTGCTTGGAAAACCGGCCCGGAGAGAAGGAGGGGGTCGGGATTAGGCGCGGGACTATTCGGTAACCCCCTGAGCCCCTGGCTGCGCGCGGCTTAACCAGGAACACGCACAAACGCGCGCGGGGGGGTCACGCTTACCAGATCTCGCCGGCGTCCCCGCCGTCGCGGAAGCTCCGCAGCTCCCTCTCGTACGCGGACTCCCAG